ACTATCTGATTTACCATTTTCAAATATGTAATCACTAATTATTTTTGGGACGGACTTGCCTTTATTAAACATATCACGAAAATTTGAATATAGACCGTTTATAAAGATAATCCTAGGATCTTGTTCATTTATTTGTGTTTCTAAATCTAACGGAATATCCAAAGTTTCATCAAAAGTGGTATCAATATATTCTTTAAAATCTGATATATTCAATTCAGTGAACGGAATATCTCGATAAAAAGGATCAATATTAATATCTTCTAATACTATTGAAACATCATTAATAGATGGTCGATCACTTTGATTATTTTGCCAACATCCTAAATTCAATGAAAGAATGTTAATAAGAACCAATATTTATACAAGATAAAAAAATGATATAATTTATAAACTTACTTTCATAAATGGATATATATCTATTATGTACACCATCAACTGGTTTCTCTCTTAGACCTTCGATTATCTTAAATGGTAGGGTCGCTTGATCATCAATATCATCAAAAGGTGCTCTTCCACTCGATATTTCCCATAGTAAAACTCCAATGCTATAAACATCTGATTTCTTGTTTTTACGTTTACGAAACTTTCCATCTTCATTTTCCTTTAATGTAAAGCATTCGGGGTCAAGATATGGTACTACACCAAAAATTTCACTTGTAGTTTTAGATTTTGTTGACTCGGTAATACGTTGTGAAAGTCCAAAATCCGCCAATTTTAAAGATTTTTGATGTACAAGTATATTATTAGAATGCTTTTAAGAGATATAAAAATATATAAAAGTTATTTTTATTAGTACTGTATTAAATATAACAACAGTTACTATTCGTATATCAGATATGTAAAAAAAAAAAAGTTTAAATTACCAGATCACCATGAACAATATTGCAACTATGTAGCCATTTAACAGCATTTACTAGTTGAACTGCAAATTGAATTTTTAATTCCCATTCGATTTCAGTTGCATTTTTGCGTAAATAATAGCTTAAAGTGCCATTATCTGCATATTCAAGTACGAATACGTATTTAATCTTATCTTCATCCATATTATCTATTTTATATTATAATCATTAATAAAGTAATTGATATACGATAGTTGATAGAATTAGATAAAAATTAAAAATATTCTTACCTATAAATTTAGTAATGCCGTAAAATTTTATAATATTCGGATGTTCGACCAAAAGCATATTTTCTAGCTATATATTATAAATATCTTAGTATAATTTGTAAGTAACTCGTATTTAAAATATTTAAAATATTGTATAAAATCAGAATATTACTTCATTCTCAATTATTTTATCAATGTACGCATTATTCTTTATGAATTTTAATGCAAATATTTTCTCTTCGTTTTCTGTACTAATCATTGCCCGGTAAACTGTACTATAAGTCCCACTGCCAATTTCTTTAAACTTCTCAAATTCATTATACTTGTATTCAATTATTTTTCCTTCTTTAATTTTGCTATCAACCCAACTTTCGTTCATGTTGAATAAATATATATAATAATATGGTCAAAATAAGCTTAGTTATACAGTAATAGCATAATTCTAATAAATTTTTTTTTTTTAAAAAAATCATACTAATCCACATTTGGATTTAAGCTATTATCCGGATTTATTATAAACCCGGATAACGATATTATAAATCCAAATTTATAAGTCTAATATGCATCATTTAGGAATTTAATGCTTCGTACCTAGACAAAAATTTAATTCAATGATCCATTACAACAAGTGAACCTTTGTGTTCGCAATTAAAGCCTATATTGTAAGGCTGTGTGTGGTATATCTGATTGCATGAAGACTCCAGTGAATTTAGATTTTAGTAAATGTTTAACGTTAAATAAAGGGAAGGCTTTTCAACCCATGATAATATAGTATAGAAATTTCTTTTTAACTGCCATTCTATCTTGTCGAATATGAGCAATGCCATAATATATAATCCAAAGATTACATATTTATCTCACATACAGTCGTACAATGGTCTATGCTTCCTGCTACGCTTCGGACGATAATTTATCAAAAAAACCCCAAGAATTCGCATAGAATTGTTAATTAGAATAAGTACTTTAATATATATAATGTGTAACTTTTATATAACCCTATAATATTAGATTAGGATATGTAAAAAAAAAATCACCGTTAGACTTATTTCCTTTATTTTAAAAACGTTTATATCAATTAATTTCAATATAAATATAGCTTATGTACGTACTTTTTTCTTTATTGATCGTCCTACATCATCAATCACGATGTTCCATATCGTGTTGATCACTTGATCGCCTTACATAATTATCTATAATGGACTTAATCTTTAGATTATTTCTTTTTTCTCGATTATATAATATGGTATATATCTTCGATCATTTTTATTGGTACTTTGTGTAGGAAATTCAGACCAGATTTATCAAATCTTACTTTGAACATCTTGTTTAGAGAATCAACCAGAGCTCCAGATCCACTCATTTAATGTTCTGATAAAGATAGATTTACTTCTATACTTGTTTCTAGTAAAACGAATCATATCTATCCAATTAATTTAGATATTATTATTAGAAAGAGCTACTAAATTGGTGGTTATATTCAGTTAAAATCGGCAAGAAATTTTTTTAGAATTATTCAGCCGAATAATTTAGTAACTAGTGTGGACCAATATTATGCCGAAGTTGCTCTTTTCTAAATTACTACTCCAGACTCCTGAAAATTGCACCTATTGAAATTACTTAAATTTCTAATTAAGTTGTGCAATTACAATTTTAGACAGCAGCTTCATGTACACATGTGCACCAATACATTTTACCAAATTCTATTACGTGAACGAGATTTACTGGTTTAGGATAATCTAATTCTGGATGTGTTAGATAATATTAGATCGAGTCATTAACATCCGGCCATGGCAAAAAACAGATCAGGTCACGTGACGTAAACAGCTAATCAAAATTAACAAAATGTTAAGATTTCGAAATATTTTTAAGATTCTAGCGAAGGTTTCTCGGTAATGACTTGATTAAACTTAGCAAATACCTTTTATTTTCATTCTATATATTTGTAGAATTAAAATGTAAAAAAATTCATCGAATTTTGAAGATCGTCGTTGAGAAATCCTCACTAAAAGGTTCAAAAACGGTCGAATATCTTGGAAAAAAATTAAAAAGTTTTCTTTTTTTTACTTTAAACGAATATTTCCCAATAACAATTGATCAAATTTGATGAAATTATTTTAATTCTGTAAGATTATAAAATCAAATAAATAAAAAAAAAAGAAGAAATCGAAATTGGATACGTGGCTATTGAGAATCTTCACGAAAATTTTAGAAAAAATTAGCCGCGGCTTCTTTTTTTTTTTATTTATATAGGTGTCTAAACTTTTAAGAAGATTATTCAGCTCTCATCTGATCAAATTCGATCAAATTTATTATTTTATTTATTTTTATAAGCTTATATAATTAAATAAAAAATAATTTTATTGAATTTGATCAGGTGAATGTCGAGTAATCATTCAAAGTTTAGGCACCTATATAAAAAGAGACCTGTTATTGCCCTATAAGAAAAGTGATACGGGTTGTGGTACGGGATGGTTTCGGGAATGTACGAAGTGGCACGGATTGTGTGGCACGCACAGGCACGTTTTACTGAATGGCACGGTAAAAATGGCAAGACATTTTGGCAAGGGGTGGCACGTTATACGGAACAACACGTTCAGATTACACGTATGTGTACGTTGCACACGTGTTGGCTCATGATACGTGTTGGCTCATTTCGCGGAGAGCGAAAGATCAATAAATGATTTTTTTTTAAAAAAAGTGCAATATCTCATAATTTCACTGATAAAGCTGCTCTGAGTATCTTAACAAAAAAGATTCCTTACAAAATTTTACTTCACATGCAGTTAGTTTGTTCGTATTATATTGATTACTAATGTAAATTTTATGTTTTAACATGTTTGTTATTTGTTATTGCGAATTTACATATCATTACTAGAGATGTGCGAATGCAGTTTTTTTTGCCTCTGCATTACATAATGATGCAACATTATGTCACATGATGCATTATGCAACCCTGCATCTATATACATATATAATTACTTTGATATTACTATCTGATTTTTATTAAAACTAGCTCTAATATGTGGTTATATGTACATCTAAAGATGTTAAATAGCTAGGATTTATCCATTTGAAACTTAAACCAGTTTATTCTTCGCTTAAGTAACTGCTAATAATAACTTATTTGATTTTTTATTTAAACATTAAGCTTACAAATAATAATTAATATTTACATATGTTAACATAATAAATAAAATTAGGTATCAAAAGTAAATTTTACTCTTGAAAACTACTTTATTATACAAACTTCTTTTTATGCATAGTATGAGATTACTCATTATATTAAATTAAAACATTAAATAATAAAATTTTTATTGAGTTAAATTTATATAATAAGTTCAATGTATATTTTTAACTTTTAAACCATCTACATTACATTATGCGACATTATGTGTTGCATAATATAACACACATAATGCGCATGGTACATCTCTAATCATTATCCATGCCAAATCCCATGCTGATTTGACTAGTAAACTGCTGCAAAACCCATACTATTTACAGTCCAATTGGCATGGGCATACAGTCTTACATGGACCAAGGAATCCATACCAACTTAGACTATACCTGTACAAATCTGGATCTTGACCCATGCCACAAAGGCCCATACCTACCCAAAACCAACCCATACCAATCTGAACCATTTTTTTAAGGGCTACTATACAATTTACTAGTGCATATACCAAGCATGCATTTATTTGTGCAAGTGATACAAACCAAAAAGAGAAATTAGCCAATTGGAGAATGTAAAATGTGATTATCCTGGATCAGTCTAACACGCGAGCAAAGTGAGAAAAATATAAAGAAAATAAAGAAACAAAAAAACAAGAAAATGGGTGTTCACTATCATTTATAAGGAAAATGATGTAAGTAGGCAGGTGGATAAGCTTATTTATCCGGAAGAGATAGATACACACAGTTCTCTAATGCACAACCTGAGCATTGCTATTTCTTGTGGAACTATGAGAGCTGGGAATACAGTAAGCGCTCATGTAAAAGACAAATCTAAGGCATCACTTCCAATATCTTTAAACTCCTGTGACCCTTCAACTTGCTATAACAAATTCCTCAAACATTACCAACGTCCACTTCTTCTATCCCCTCAAACAATCAATCCCTTCCTTCTTCATCTCAGCAAATATAGCCTTTGGAACAATTTACAGAATGAACTCATAATCTCTATCAAAGCTGATTATAGTGAAGCCCATATCTACACCTCATAAGAACCTTGTCTCCTTTCTGACCACCTAATTGTACCCTACCAAAGTGCCATCTTTGCAAATCCCCATACTCCTCTAAAATCTCATACACAACATTCTTCCTCATCCACATCTCCTGGACCACATACTGATCTATCTAATACCTCTTACTCTTCACTAAATCTTTCTATATGCACATATAATATCCAAGGCTTCAACCAAAATCTTAAACAACAAATATGGGAATACTACTGTTTATCTAACAAATTGGATATTATCTGCCTCACTAAAACCAAACTAGCTAGCAACAACTTTACCTCAAAACATCTTATAACACCTCATTATACTTACTTCTGATCCTGTATTAAAACTCCAAAGCTGGTACTGCAATTATGATACATAACTCACTAACACTCTATATACACAATAGCTACTTTACCTGGCTATGCTATCTTCATTGATCTGTTCTTTAAACATGATTTCAAATTCTGTATCATTTCAACCTATCTTTCTTGCAATGATGCCTCTATCAGACTTCAAGCTCAAAATACTATTATCCAACGAATACAAGATGTCTATACTCTCAACCTACTTCCCATCATACTTGGTGACTTTAATACCTCAACCAACAATATTCACTCTGTATCTATTAAATACAAACTCCTCCAATTTCTCTCTTACAACAATATGTACAATCTTGCCTTACATACTTCTTCTTCTTCCCCTACCTGGCAAATGCCAAATCTAGTAGTAAAATTAACTTCATCTGGGCTTACTACACTATTCTAACCTATCTTACTTTTTTCAATATTGAGGATACAGATAACAGCTCCTTTAGTGATCATAAAATCCTCATTGCTTGTTGGTCCTTTCCTCATACTCTACATGGCCAACGTAGACACAAAACTCATACACATAGAAGAGTCTTCAACTACAAGATAATGAGCAACTCCAAATGGGATGACTTCTAATAGATATTCAGATAATTATCCAAATATCAATAGTAAATGGATATCTGGATAAATTTTGGATGGGTGTGGATAGCAGATATCCAGATAACAGATAATGGATTGAAACTCTACCTGGCACAAAATTCACACTAGTACTATTACAGCAGCTTTACAACACATTCTCAACAAAAAATTTACAGTCTGAAATTTTTAACACATATTTTCTTCCA